CTCATAAATTTAAAATGTTTATTAATGCTCCATCTATTAAATATGAATAATATAGGTTTGGTTCTCCACATAATTTAATAAAATAAAATTATATAACTGAAAATGATGGATTTGGAGTAATTACATATACCAAAAAATATAGTTTTAAAAATAATTAAAAGACCTAGGACTCCCACTTTTAATAAATTTAAAATGAAAAAAGAATAATCAAATTACAAGCCGACTTTTTTTCCACCTAGGAGTTGACCGGGTATGTAGAGAATAACGGCGTGAAAATTTAAGAAAGTTGGGAGCAAAAAAGTGTTAATTATCAAATCTGGAATATTTTCATAAAAATTCGCATTTTTGGGAATATTTCTATGATTTTTACTTTTTTAAAAGAAAGTTGGGAGCAAAAAAGTGTTAATTATCAAATCTGGAATATTTTCATAAAAATTCGCATTTTTGGGAATATTTCTATGATTTTTACTTTTTTAAATGAAATATCTTATTGTGTTTTACATACTATTTTCTTGATTATATAAAGGCTCTCGAATCTCGATCGATTGAATATTCACCTAGGGCCTCAAAAAGGCTAAAAATGGTATGGGGAGTATTAACAAATTATTTATACTTAGTCCAAATTTAGTGTATCTAGTGTAGTATTATCCTCTTGTATACAGTGTGCTTTGAACTCAAATGTTGTATTAGAGCATCAACAATGCAAGTCATATACTGGAATGTCACACGCTGACATGACACTGTTTAACCAATCAAAGTTAATCTAGTCACACAGTGGCATGACATTAGAATGGTGTGTCGTGCAGTGGGATGTCATTATTTTTTACTCACTTCAGATTTTTGGCATATTTTAATCATTTTATATTACTTTTTCTCAACTCAATATATTTTATTTTTGCTTTTTTTATAAATGTTTATATTTTGTTGTGAAGATTTAAATTGTACGGAGTATACTTTAATTATTCATAATTATTTAGTAATGTATTTGAATATGGAAAATTAAAAATATAATATTCTATTACAACCATTTAAAAAAATTGAGAAACACATCATAATAATAATTCGAGAACTAAAAAACTTGTTTACGAGAATTGTGGTGAGCCATACACACTGATGGGTAAATAAACATGTGAGTGGTGAGCCATACACACTGCACACAAATGTTTTTGCACAAGGGAAAGGTGGGAGAGAACAGCAGTTCAAACTCTGGTTTGACCCAACCAACAACTTCCACGCTTATTCTATCATTTGGAAGCCCCAACGCATCATGTAAGTTCATTTTTACACCGAATTTTGATTTTTCCTACTTCAAAATTTTTGAGTCTTGAAAAATAGTGCTCGTGTCTTTGTGGGCTCAACGAATTATTCATAAAAATAACTTACCAATTCCTTTGTAGAGCAAGAAATTGTAGTTTTGTCAAATTACTCAAAACAAGTTGGGAAACACTGCTTTTAATTAATCTGTAAATAGAAGAGTGAAAGATGATTAAATGAAAGCAAAAAATAAAAGCTCATTGGGAATCATTGCTAAAAATAGATTGGGTGCTCATTGTGCCAATTTCAAGCTCTGGTTCATCACTTTATTACCCATTTTAATTGGAAGCTAGGTTTCATAATAACAACAAAATCAGCATCAAACATATATCTTAGCAATATAGCCTACATGTAATGTTTCCAAATACTTCAATAAAGAATATCAAATTGTGGGTGTTTCACATTACAATCACTTAGAACAAGACTTAAAATTGTAATGGTTGTATTTCTCCAACAATAGTATTTTTTTGTCCAAAAACTCAATAACCTACATTTGGAAATTTTGTCAAACACCTAGTGTGCACTACCATGAATTCATCTATTTAATTTATTGATGAATTAAAAACAATCCATTCAGACCTAAAAGAGATCAAGCAGAGAGATGGAATGCAGAGCAATCAAAGATGAGTGGAGTTACCTCGGGGTTGCAGGTGAAGGATGATGGCCGGAGAAGACTCTGTGCAGAGAAGAGAAAAAACAATGGCCGGAGAAGTCCGCGCAAAGAAGAGAAAAAACAGTGACCGATAATTTTTCAAATTGTATCTTGCTGCTTCAATTTTGCCTCGCATCTGCCACACAAAGCGAAGTGCCGCGCGGAATGCCTCGCGACCCTTTTTTTTCCTCGCCCACTGTCGTGCTTCCCTCTACCCGAATGGCAGGGCGTGGCAAGGCTTCTCCTTGCCGCTGCCAGTGCTCTAAATGTATTCAACTCTTCATAATTGAAAGATCATCAATTCATAATGACCTTATCGTATGAGAGATTGAGAGACGGTCACGAGGATGGTCTTTGTAGCGGGATGCTTTTTATATTTCTCCTTCTATTATTAAATATTATACGTGTAATCCTTCTTTTATACTCCGTATTTCTTTATTTAACAAACAGTTCTTTTTTGACATTCTGTAATGTTGGTGTAAATTTGGAAACTATAAACAAAATTTGACATCAACTCTACATTTAGTGACGTATTCTGATGTCGGGTAGACGACAACACAATACAAATAACTATGGTTTTGGTCTAAAATTCTGACGAAAGATCACATCTGTAAACAGCGAATGTGCTTCACAAACGGTGTATTAAGAGCGGGCTCTGTAATTGTATAAGACAAGAAAGATATGTTAGTCATTGTAAAAAATAATACTTTTAGTCTTCAAATTAACACCAATATGACAGAAGATCAAAAAAAGATTATTTGTATAAAGGTGCCATTAAAAGCAGGACCACATGTGTATTACACAGTATTTGATAATAAAAGACTAAATATAAAAAACTCGTGTTATAAAGAATCAATTATGAAATTTACACGACTCGGGCTACCTACGTTAGGATTTGGTAAACTAAATCAATAAAATGATATGTATGCGGCCCAAATGGATACGATCCAATTTCTTATGCTAATACACAATATGTATACGGCCCAAGTAGATACAACCCAAAAATCTTATGCTAATGTCATAATTATATTTGAGGGTTCAAATTTTTTTAATAATCTAACTCTACTTCTTTTATATACATTTTCATCGATCATTTAATAAAATAAAATAACTTTCTCATCACCATTTATTTTACAGAACTTTTAAAGTAGTTTTTTTAATATACTCCATATAATTTTTTATTTTTTAAATTCCACTCTATTTTTATTATTTATATTGATTTGAGAATAAGTTTAGTAAAAAAAATCGTAAAATGAACATGACTTTTTTATAGACTGGAGAAAGTATGAGAAATTCAATAAAATAAAATAAAATAAAATAAAGAAAGGTTATTGTTGTTATTAAGATTCTGATGAGTTTTTTTCTTTGGAATTGGGCTGCACATGCACTTGACGTAGGAGGTGGCCGGCCGGCAGGCCAGTTTTCCTCGGAACTTGCGGATATCTCCACCTCATGCACCCAACTTGCCCCTCCCCCATGCATCCCATTATTATTAT